AAAAAAAACACAGACTTTGTCTGTGTTTGTTTGTTTGTTTGTTTATTTATTTATCCAAATTCTGGAATCCAAATCCAAAGGGATAACCAACAACGAATAAAAAAAATCCCAATTCCATTTCAAAACATGAATAAATAAACAGAATCTTTAATCTTCGTGGATTTTCTGTTTTGTTTTTTATTATTTACAATTCGTGTGTGTGTGAATGGAATATTCAATGCTTTTTCTCTCTCATTCACTTACTACTTTACTATCATCATTGAATGATTCATTCATTCATTCATTCGAGGAAGATTTTCGTTATTTAAATTCAATTTGTTACCATTCATTATTTTGCATGTGAAACAAACAAAACGTGTTTAAATAGTAAACATCATTCGATCAATCGAATGATGATGCTTAATGATGTTAATGAATGTTGCAAACAAAAAAATATTGCAAATAGAGGGAGAGAAATTGAAAAGAAATCCAATCATGTGATTATATACGAAGATACGATACGAAACAAACAAACAAACAAAATGTGTGTTTGATGTTTGTTTACATACATCAAACACACCAAACACACATTTTTGTTTTGTTTTGTTTTTTGTTTTGTTTTTGAAAGAATTAATTATCAATTTGTTTGAGACATACACACACAGGTGAAAATGTGTGCGTGTTTTTTTTGGGAAAAAAACTTTCTTCTTCTTCTTCTTCTCTATCTTTCACTTTATCTTCGATCCAATCGATTAGTAAATATTTAATCAAATGTTGTTGTTTTTTTGTTCAATGTTGAAATTGATCTATCAATGGTTTGATGAAAAATCAATGGGGAAATTATTTTGTTCTGGTGAATTTTGTTTTTCCATGTTGTTGAAATTAGTTTGAATATTTGTTAATGGACGACAATAATAATACAAAAATTCTCTCTCTATGTTGCACTTGAATGAATGTATTTTTTTCCAATTCGTTTCTCATTGAAATATATTCAAATCATTAAACAAATTCAATTCAATTCACACACACCAAATGAAATGAAATCGATGACACCCTTAATCATCATCATCACCATTAAAATGATGATGATAATGGTGGTGGCCATATGGACAAATCATCATCGAAATCATCATCCAGCCGGAAAAAAGAAGGTTTTTTTTCTGCTGATCGGGTGTTAAGAAAAGGCATCCATGCATCAAAATGACAAACATTTTTCTGTTGTTTTGTTCGGGTTGTTGTTGTCATTTGTTGTTATTGAAAGTGTCAAACAACAACAACAACAACAGCAGAAATGGCAAGGATCATCAAACATACAAAAAGAGACAATTTTTTCTGGATCATCAAATGACGACGACACTGACCGACCGATCAACCGACAATCGTCATTGACGACAACAACCGAAATCGATATTCAACCCAAAACACAAGCCGCCGCCAGACACACAAACAATGACTAGATTAATTTAATTTGATCAATCGAACCAAAAGAAGAAAAGAAAAAGAAAAGAAAGGAATTGAAACGATACAAGGATCGATTTTTATCTTTCTCTTGGCTGGCTGGCTGGCTAGGAATTGAAATGTGGACCACACTAAATATATGCGGATGGTTCAATCGTTTACCCTTGTTTTCAAACAATCAAAATTGAATGTAGATCAATCAAGGCAATGATCAAACGAAGAAGATTTTTAGATTGTAATGGATCCTAAACAACAACAACAACAACAAAACATTTTCATCCATTTTCATCATGGATCAGACACACATTAAAATGAGACATTAAAAGCTATAACAGCCGAAAGGATCAAACTTTTTGAATGAAAAACACACAAACAAACAAGCGAAAAACCGGTACCTTTTTTTTCAAATGATATCAAGGGGGAGCAGATTAACAACAACAAACAACAACAAAATCATTATCATCCATTATGTGGACATAAACAGCAGCAAACGAATGATAATGATCAAAACGAAACAAACGAAAATATTCAAATTTCCGATCTACCCTGATGATTATAATCAAAGTAAAAACATGACATTTTTAAAAATCATTCAACCTAAGTAAGGTATTTTGGCTTCTACTGCTGCTGCTACTGGGTTATGTTTGTGAAACAAAAAAAATTTCCTTTTTATCTTTGGATTTAAATGTGATGACAAAAAGTGATGATGTTGATGTTCACAGTGATGATGATGAAATTTCAAGATCATCATCATCTTGAACAACACCAAGTGTGTGAACAAGGTAATAATATTGTTGTTGATTATGATGATGACAGGATACATACATAGTGTTTGTTTGTTTGTTTTGCTGTTGAAAGAAAACAGAAAAACATTGACATTTATCATCGATATCAACATTGTACAGACACAGACATAAAGCGAGAGAGAGATGAATTTATGTCGTAAAATTAACGAACGACCAAAAGAAAGAAAAAAAATGGTAATAATTATAATGACAGTGAAAAAAACTTAAGAAAAAAAAAGGAAACTAAGGTAATAAAATAAAACGAAGAAATGGAAAAGAAACAATAAAGACACATTGTTAATGGGGAAAGATGGCTTATTTTTTACGAAAATGAAAAAATCGAAATGAAATGAAAACATTCAACAAAAATATTGACAAGACAAGGTAGTAAAAACCAGCCAAAAGAAAATTAAACAACAAGAAGAATTGGTTCATCAGATGATGATCATTCATCGTATTCGGACAATTCCCGAAAATATATGTTCGGGATGTTCGGGTGAAATACCGAAAAATTTTCGTTTCAACAATAACAAAAAAAGGTGCGGTTATTTTCTGAAACAATCAGAGTCGGCGCACATTACATGATCATCATCAATTTTTTTTTCTGGCGATGTTTGTACATGTATAGTTTGCTTTTCCAAAAAGGGACATTTTTTCCAGAAACAAAAACCATACCACCACCGCCACCACCACCAAGTCTGATCGATAATTTCCGAAATGGAAATTTTCGGAAAAAATAAAACAAAACAAACGAAAATCCATTTAAATTAGATTTTTGGCCATCATCGTTAGATCAAAAAAAAAACGACACAAACTTACATCATAATCATCAATGAAACAATAGGAATCGTATTCAAACACACAGGTCTAGACAAACATTATTTAGACGGCTAACGAAGACGGCGACAATTGATCAATTTCAATTGGTTTTTTTTTCGTTAAAAAAAAAGACCGACTGACCGTGTGGTCGGTCAATTTAAGGAATTGAAATGTGGAACGAAAGAATTTGTCTCCAAACACACACACACAGAAAAAGAAAAATGACCGGAGAAAAAAGTCTTTGAATAATTTGATCTCCAATGGTGGTGCGATTTGACAAAAAAACAATAAGATTTTCATTGAAGAAAATTTTTTTTTTCAAACAAAATCAGGTAAAAAGTCTTAATGTCATTTTTTTTAAAGTTACATGGTTATGTGTGTTGTTTTTTCTCAAGTGATTGCTATCTTTCATTCATTCATTTGATCAATTTGATAACACTTACCTTCGACCGGATTTTGTAATAACCATTTCAGTACCTAATGAATGAAATTTTTCCCATAAATCTTTTGATTCTAATGTTACTTTTGGATCATCTTCAATACCATCATCATCTGGTTCAAATGTTGATGATAATGGTAATGTTGGTTGCGATTGTGGTGGTGGTGGTCGTAAAGTATTGATTGGTGATGTTCTTGTTGGTGATTTTGATGACGTTGTTGTTGTTGTTGTTTGACCGGAAGCGTTTGCTGCGGCAGCAGCAGCAGCGGCTGCAGCAGCTGCAGCCATTTGATGTGATACCAACATATCTTCAGCCGTTAAAAATGGTGATGTTCCATGAATGTTAGCCGCTGATGATGATGATGATGATGGTGGCAATGGTGGACCATTATTGATAATAGCTGCTGTTGTTGTTGTTGATTCATTTGATGATTGTTGCTGTTGTCCACCAATACCCGATGATGATATTGATGATGGCTGTGTAGAAATAGATGCCATTTTATTAAAAAATGTAGCCGATGCTGCCATCGGTCCAAATGCAGCTAATGCTGATAGATATGCTGATTGTTGATGTTGTTGATGATTATTATGATTATGATTATTTGAAGCAGCTGCTGCGGCTGCTGCTGCTGCGGCAGCAGCAGCAGCCGATCTATAATTAAGATCCGAAGCACGTAATAGAAATGGCTGCGGTGGATAAGCCATTTCATCAGTCGATTCGTTTGCTTGATATGGTTCTACATCTAATAAATATTTCATTTATGAAGGATTTTGAAGAAAATTTTATCACTAATTTGATGATGATAACACACACGAAACAGAAAAACGCACAAACTTTTTTTTTTGTTGACCAGAATTAGATACCACACACATAGACAAACTATACATACACACAAAGAATTTTTTTTTTGAAAACAAAAAATCATTCAGAATTACAGAATATATTATCAGCCAAAATATGACAAAATTAATTTAATTTTCTTGATTTGTTGTTGTTTCATTCACAGAATTTTTCTCGTTTGCAAAAAATTAAAATCAACGATGATAATGAATGAATGATGTGATCTGCGTGTGTTCAAACAAACAAATGTTGTTGTGTTTAAGTTTTGGCAATGGTTTGTTGATATGTTGCTCTGAATGAATTCAATGATAATGGTGAAGAAGATGATGATGATGGTGGTGGTGATGAAACGAAAAAAAATCTAACAACAACCAAAAAAAAAACTTGCCCTGTCCTGTGTATATGTGTTATGTGTATGCTGTGTATATATATGTGTTTGGATTGGATTGAATTGTGAATGGTGAAAAAAATCGCAGCTTCTGTGTCGATATCTTCACTTTACTTTTTAGTGTGGAAATTTTTTGCTGTTGTTGTTGTTATTGTTGTTATTCAAGGGGGCTAGGTTCTTCTAAACACACACACACTCACACGCAGCAATTTTTTGCAGTTAGTTTAGTTCAAATAGATTGATAGATAGAGTACTATCTTTCTCTCTCTCTCTCTCTCTCTCTCTCTCTCTCTCTCTTGCTATCTATCTCACACTAATTCTATGAATCTTTTCTTGTTGTCGGTTGTGTTCACACACACACACACATCACACATTAAAAAAATTATCATTGATAGAAAAGGCTGCCACCATCATGATGATGATGATCATCACCATCATCATCATTGCTGTGAAAATAGCCGTATGTGTAGCGCATAGCCGCTAAAAAAAAATTCCACACACACACACATCTAATGTTATCTGATCTATGATCTCTTTCATTTCATTTTAACTCATTATTTTTGTTGTTTGCATGTAATGGGCAATGGCAAAAGATAACACTAACTAACTCTCTCTCTCTCTCTCTCTTTCTCTCTCATACTTCACTTCTTCTTACACTGACAAGAATTTTTTCAACAAAAAAAAAAGTTGTAAAGATGTAAAGTGGTGATAGTGATTGAGATAGTATCGATATCTATTTACACACACACAGAGATACGCATACATGTGGTATATATAAGTGTGTGTGTGTGTATGTATGTGGAATGAAATCGCTGCTGAAATCAATCGATCGATCAACTATCAATCGATTGTTGTTTCTCTGGACATTAAAAATAGACACACTAACTCTGAGGTTGGCTGGCTGGCTATATTGATTTGTGTGAATCAAGCAAATGCTTTTTCACATAGGAAATTTTGAGATGTGAAAAATACAAAAGCAGTTCTCTTTTTCTCTCTCATTCTCTCTCTCTTCTAATCATCATCAACATCCAAAAAAAAAATTCTTGATTTGCTCTTTAGTCCAAGTTAGAATAGAAAAACTCTATTCTTTCGCCTATGTATGGTGTGTCATAATAATAAGGGAAAAAAACCAAGCCGTGTGTGTGTGTTGTGTGTTAAACCCGAATCGAAGCCAAACACCATTTGTGTTAATAAAAGCTAAAGACCTCCCCTTTCTATCTACTTTTCTACATTGGCTTGTATGGAGGGAGAGAGTTCGCACTCCAAAAAAAAAGTGATCGAATCACAGTGTGCTGCTGGTTGTTTGTTTGCTTGCTGCATGTGTTAAAGCAATAAAGAAAACAGAAAAAAAACGCGTGAAACAACACACCATATACATAACACTCTTCTTTCTCATTTCTCTCACCCTGGATATGAAAAAAAAAAATAAATAAAGTGCTAGGAGTGTGATTTGGAAAAACACCACCACCACCACCGCCACTACTACTACCTACTACCGCCACTTCTTTCATTTTCCTTTAAAGAATGTACTGTGTTAATAATAATTTTTTTTTGCAGTGTATCACCCCATTGTGAATAACACTTGGAACCTCAATATTCGAATGGAACACATACATAAATCTCGATTCGGTATTTTTTTTTTTTGGTCGGGTCGCAAACATATATAGCACAGGATGACCTGGAACTAAAATGAAATTCAAGCAAATTTTTTTCCATTTCCATTTTTTTTCCCATTTGACCATCCTTATCCTGAATTAAAATTGCTAATTTTCTTTTCAAAAATAATTCTCAAGCGACCACCGCCTTGAAAAAATTATCATCATCATCATCTTAACACTGTGGGATTCAACTGAGATTCAAATTAATCTTAACTTTCCTTTCATCCGAGTAGATGTAACGTAAACGGGGGGGAGGAAAAGGAAGAAAAAGTTTCTTCACCACCGCCACCCAACGACATAGTGGATCGATACAAAAAATAATGTTTTTTGCACATTTCTTATATGTTTTTTTTTCTGTTGGAACCTTTTTGGAGATTTATATTTCACACTACCATCACCATCAACAACAACAACAACAACATTTCTTTATTCGGGTGTTGAAGATTGATTTGATCCAACAACAGCATCAACAGAAATGGTGACGATGATAATGCGCACAAATCATCATTATTATGATTGGTGTTAGATAGAGAGAGAGAGAGAGAGAGAGAGAATTGTCTGTATTTCTGAAAAGTGTTTAACTCCGCCTTTTTTCATAACATAACGACCGCCTTCCTCTTTGCTTAACACACACACACACACACACATAGTTTTTCATTCTTACACTTTTTTTTTGTTGGTTGGTTGTTGGTTATTTAACGCTTTATGTGCCAGGCGCTTTTTATTCTTCTCGCACTTCTTTCAATGATGATGATGATGATGATAAGAAGGCGTTTATAGCCAAGCTAATTAGGCGGGTACATTTGTTATTGTTGTTGTTGTTGTTGTTGGTGAATTGATTGAACCAGAACAGAGTAGAATAGTGAAGAAACAGTCTGACTAACACTCGAATTTTGATAATCAGAATTTATTTCTTTTTTGATGACGCATTCACAAAAACACATACACTCAGTGCGAAAGAGAGAGAGAGGTGCTTGTTGTGTTCTGGGTTATATCATCATCATTTGGAGTATCTTGATGGGGGGAGAAGATCGGCGAGGGGGAAGGGATGGTCATGTTATTTGATGATGATGTTCGGTTTCGGTTCGGTTATTCATAACCATCAAAATTCATAGTGTGTGGTATTTTTTGTTATTCGAAGAAATGTAAATGTCATATGATGATGCATGATGTACGATGATGCATAGGGAGAGAGAGAGATTCGGATTCAGTCGGCGAAACATTTTCGATCAAAAAAAAAGATGCGAAAAACTAGAACCCAAGTATTTTCAGAGAAACAGAAACGGAACTTTTATATAGAAAAAAAGAAGTGACTGAAAATTTGCTTTTTCACCCTCCGTGTGGATTCTTGTTCTGTGAAACATCAGAATCCAGGAAACTCGAAAAAAAACTGAATTCTTTGAAACAAAAAAAGCGCAGGCGTCATTTTCTGAAGAATAACGATTCTGTTTTTTTTATTGTCATTGGAATGGTTTTTTTTGAGGAATTCTGGTTCTGGTTTTGCTCGAAAGCAAATAACATTCACTGTTCGACGACTCTTTTTTCTCGGTTTTCTTTTTTTTTCGGTTCTGGTTGATGGCATTTTATGAATTCAATACACACAAACACACACACATCATACATTTGAATTATCAAATAATGATGATGATGATCATCAAGGCGTTATAAAGAAAACGAAATAAGATTTGCTATTCTCGCCCTTGTTTCTTGCTTTTCAATATTCAACTTTTGAATATATTTAGGCTTCTTCTTTGTCATTTGAAAATTTTGCGCACCCCAGTTGGTGTGTGTGTGTGTGTGTGTGTTAAGTTTAGCAGATTTTTTTTGTGTTGCATGCCTGCCTGTCTGCCCTTCAACGTAGAATATTCTTTAGAATTTTGATGATCGGATTTTTTGAAATAAAAGTTATTATTATCATCATGATGGTGTGGAAATAGCTTGAATGAATGAATGAATGAAGTGGATGAAAATAGCTTTTTGAAATGAATGTTTATCATTTCGGCACCAATTCTTTTTGCAAAAAAAAGATGCTTGAAAATAATTTGCCTGTTAATTGAGCTAATTATTTGTTTGTGTTTGTTTGCTTATTTGTTTTGTGTCTGGTTGGTTGTGTTTGAAAATTATTCGCTTCATTATTCGGTGTTAGTATTGCAGCATACATCATTTTCAAACAGTATCATTTTCTAATTCTAAGTAATGATGATATCATTATGCAGATAGAATGAAATTCTGTTGAAGAATTTGCTGACGTTATCGAAATTTATATTTTTTTTTCTCAGAATTCAAAATCGTTTCATTTTTCATTACATTTTTTTTCGCTGATGGTGGACAGAAAAAAAAATATTTTTGAACAGGAAAAATTTTGGGTAGGTTTTTTTTTGCAAAACTCCAGAATTTTCATCAATTTCTATTCAGGCAAAATATTCTGTTGAACAAAAAAACCAGTAAAAAACAAACATTTATTCGTGGATTCTTTTTGTTTATCGACAACTCACACAAAGAGTATGAGAGAGATTCTGTATGTTTCACATATATTTTAATAAATAAAATAATAATGATATGTTATTTTACCCGAGTGTGTGTGTGTGTGTATGTTACCCGACAAAAACAAACTTTGTAAATTGAAAATGTTTGGAAACAAGAATTTTGGATTGAAATTGAAAATCGTGAACATAAAACATACATTGGTAGAGAGAGAGAATGAGGAAAAATGAATTGAAAATTCTCNGTTATATCATCATCATCATTTGGAGTATTTTGATGGGGGGAGGGAAGATCGGTGTGGGGGAAAGGATGGTCATGTTATTTGATGATGATGTTCGGTTTCGGTTCGGTTATTCATAACCATCAAAATTCATAGTGTGTGGTATTTTTTGCCATTCGAAAGAAATGTAAATGTCATATGATGATGCATGATGTACGATGATGCTTAGAGAGAGATTCGGATTCAGTCGGCGAAACATTTTCGATCAAAAAAAAGATGCGAAAAACAAGAACCAAGTATTTTCAGCGAAACAGAAACAGAACTTTTATATAG